GTCTTCCATTCCTTGCTTGGATTCAGCAATAAGTGCTAAATCATCCATATAGGCTAAGGTATTGGGAGCGATATACCCTTGAATTGGACGGTGCTGAGCCAGTCTGGTGACGAGAGGATCATAGAAAATGACCCAGGTAATGGGTGACAAGATTTCACCTTGTTCTACTCCATTATTTACGATGAATGATTCGGTGGGTCCGAAAGGTGTGTTGAAGGAGATCTCTCTATTGCTAAGGATATTTATGAGCAGGTTGATGATTTGGTTTGGGCAGCGGATCCTTTCTAATGACTTTTTGATTGCTGGTATGGGTGCTGAGTCGAATGCCTTTGCTATGTCTAGTGAGGCAAACCAGAATTCTTTGTTTTGGACATTAGCTGCATGGAGGGCTGAGTTGACGATTGTTAGTGGTTCCATAGTGGTTTGACCTGGGAGACCAGCACAGTTGTACTCAGATAAAATATTGTTCTCCTTGATTATTTTGGTTAGTCTCTTGTTGATTATACCTGTGAACACTTTCCTTGTAGAGTCGACAAGGGAGATAGGTCTGGTGTCGTTTAGTTTGTGACTCCAAATTAGTTTCTTTGGGATAAGGGTGACGATGGTTTGTTTCCACTGTTCAGATATATTGGTAGACTGTAGGATGTCGTTGAAGATAGATGTCATATGGAGAATTGTTTTTTCCCCCATGAGTTTGATGATATCATAGCTGATCCCTGACTTTCCTGGAGCTTTATGTCTGGGAAGGTTGCAAATTGCTTCTTTGATGATAGGGAATTTGAGTGGGCTTGTTAATTCATCATAGATTTCTTGATTTACTGTCTTTGGTGAATAAGTTTCTTCCCAATTTGGGTGGTTACTAAGGTCGAAGCTTCTTGGTCGAAGAATATTTTTGAAGTACTTGTTGATTGCTTCTTGAATCAGATCTGGGTCGTTTTCTAGCTGATCGTTCGAGTTGTATATTTTGCAGAGATCGATCTTAGGTTTGATTGTACCGAGGGCTTTTTTGATATAGCTTTTTGGCTTACTATAAAAGTTCTCCATCATGTTTTCCAGATTTAAGCGATATTCTTCGATAGCTTCTTGTTGTGATATTGTTAGTAATATTATATGTCAATTTGAATATTTGCTATATATAAGTTATTGGCTTTAAGTTATTTAAAGTAAAAAATAAGTTTAATCTATTTAATAATCTGATTAATTTTTTTTAATACTATTGAACATTTGAATATATGTTATATGTTTTTAATATAATGTTTACATTATGGACAGTAAGGATCTGGATATAGGTTTGAATATAATTGATAGAAATTTTCTTGTATAGAAAGAGTTTTTGACAAAAGCTTGATTTGAAAGGCAAATAGATTACTGTATTTGTTGTTTTGTATATTTTTTAGAAATTAAAATAATAATTTAATGATAATTTACAAAAGAATTTATTGTCAATTTTATTACTATAAACAGTTGTATAAATAAATTTTTTTAATTCTAAATAAATATTTGGAAATTAAAGAAATAGGCTCAATAAATTTTATTTAGAAACAATAGTTAAGATTCAAATATTTTATTATATAAATATTATATATAAGCTATTTATTATGGCAAATAATTATTAGAATGTGATTATAAAATATTTTAAATAAATTAGTCATCAATTCTAGTCAAATGAAATTTATGAAAAAAAAATTGAATAAAAACTTCTTTAATTTATTTGAGCTTATTTATAAATCCTATAATTTATAAATAAAAGATATAAATAATACAACCTTGTTAATTGAAAAAGTTATTGATCTTTCAAATTTAATATTTATTGGCAATAGTAATTCTTTTGTTAAAAAGCAACAAATCATATCAACCAATATTATATCATGGCAAGGTTCAAGAAATCTTAATTGCAATTCTGCATGATTAGTAGTTCACATATTCAATAATAATAATAATTAATAAGCAATTATATAGCAAAAGAGTTATAAATGTTGATAGGAATAGTTATATAATCGCCATGTATCTAAGATAAAATCATACAAATTTGAATATCTGAGTTGAGTTGAAAAAATACAATTTAAAATATATAGATATCAAGAAAAAAATTGAAAAAAGACTTGGATTTTGACTTTATTATAATAGCTTAAAATATGTAGGTTCATTTATTTTGCAACACATTATAATTTTTAAATATACGCTTAATAAAAACCCCGAGATTTTAAACTGGCACTGTGAAAGTATTAGGTAAAATAATGAAAAATCAATGTTAAAATCAATGTTTCGTTAAATAAATTTTTAATCTGTATGTGAGTTAAAAAATTGACTATATTATAAAAAAAATTACCATGGTATCATGAAGTTGAGAAGAACTTGTCATTGTATTTAACAATTGCTATATAGTATATACTTTCGCAAATTGAAACAAATTTTATTATATATAATTCAATATTTACAAGTTATAATACAATTATTATATTGGCACATATAATTATATCAGTATATCTAAAAGTAAAAGTTACGGCATTTATAAAAGTTACTTCATGCCATAACTGTATATCATATTAAAATTAAATCGATATACTGTATATAATTATTATAATATACCATGAAAAGTTGTAACTAGTTATAATTTATTACAATGCTATTTGTCCCAATGAATTAAGTTTCTACCACATCACTAGTGCAGACTTAATACATTATATTTGAATCACGTCTTCACATCATGTCATATAATATAGACTTAATTCGAAAAATCATTGAAGTCTGTACCTCTACTCGAAACGCTACAATTGAAAAATGTCGCTGATAATGTGGTTGCGTGATCTTGCATAACTTTACGGTTAAAAAGTAGGGCTGAACTGTTTCACGGGGCTATCTGACGTGTCACAATATACCTGGTGAGAATAAATTAATAGTATTGTATATGACAACTTGGTTGATCAATGACATTAGTGGAAATAATGGATCCCAATACAGTATCAATAAAAGAATTATACATATTACAGACTCAAAATGTCATCTTTTTAATTACCCAAAGTGTTAGTGAAACTTAACGTTGAAGTATTTTAATCATTTTAGTTGGCGATTTCTCTTTCATGGTAAAATAATCTTTCAGTATGTCCAAAGAAATTAGTCGAATATCGTTCGTCACGATTGTCGACGAAATACATCAGGCCTATGAGAGAATGAGAGATTTATACAAATTCGCGGAGTACAATCGACAAATATGTAATTATTTGATAAGTAGGGTTGACTCTGTCAAGTTTAAATTGCAAAATATGTTGAGTATTCGAATAAATGAAGATAATGAATCTTATGAAAATGTGAAATTTTATAGTCATGAGAATTATTTAACAATGCAGCAACTTTTGAGTAATATTCATGATATGGAAAAATTCATTGATGAACTGTCACATTTAAGAACTTATTTTACGGGAAAATCAATTGAGACCGCTTTTTATGAGTTAACAAAAAAGTTTGACACGTATGTAAAAGCCTTGAATGTTAAGATAGATGTGGACGTTAATTCTGAATCTGTATCATTAAAGATGGATATTAATAATTTTGAAAAGGTATTTATTATGATTTCAACGTTATTGTAAGTGATGTCTTTTATTTGTGGTACGTTTTAACTTATTAAATTCGATGATATACTTTACCCACACAGTATATTTCTAAAATAATATCATTGATTAATGCCCTTCATGAGAATAACACTTTAATCGATTTAAGTTTGCACTATCAACTATGTGATAGGGCTTTAGAAACGAATACATTCCTGACAAATTTGAGTCTAGAGTACAATGATTTAGGCGAATCAATAGAAAAAATACTGACTGAGGCTCTATGCAAGAATACCACCCTGACTAATTTGAATTTACAAAGTTGCAATTTAGGAGAATCGGCAGAAAAAGCACTGGCTGAGGCTCTATGCAAGAATATCACCCTGACCGAGTTAGATATGAGTTGGAATAGTATAGGAGAGTCGGCAGGAAAAGCACTGGCTGAGGCTCTATGCAAGAATACCACCCTGACCGAGTTAGATATGAGTTGGAACAGTATAGGAGAATCGGCAGGAAAAGCACTGGCTGAGGCTCTATGCAATAATATCACCCTAACTGTACTAAATATAAGTAATAATAATATAAGAGAATTGGCAGGAAAAGCATTGGCCGAGTCTCTATACAAGAATACCACCCTGACTGTATTAAATATAAGTAACAATAATATAGGAGAATTGACAGGAAAAGAACTGGCTGATGCTCTATGCAAAAATACCACTCTGACTGAGTTAGATATGAGTTGGAATAGTATAGGAGAAACGACAGGAAAAACGCTGGCCGAGGCTCTATGTAATAATATCACCCTAACTGAGTTAGATATGAGTTGGAATAGTATAGGAGGGTCGGCAGGAAAAGCACTGGCTGAGGCTCTATGCAATAATATCACCCTAACTGTATTAAATATAATTAATAATAATTTAGGAGAATCGGCAGGAAAAGCTCTGGCTGAGTCTCTATGCAAGAACACCACTCTAACTGTACTAAATATGAGTAATAATAATTTAGGAGAATCGGCAGGAAAAGCACTGGCTGATGCTCTATGCAAGAATACCACCCTGACTGAGTTAGATATGAGTTGGAATAGTATAGGAGAATCGACAGGAAAAACGTTAGCTGAAGCTCTATGCAGAATAACGCCCTGGCTGTATTAAATATAAGTAATAATAATTTAGGAGAATCGGTAGGAAAAGCACTGGCTGAGTCTCTATGCAAGAATAACGCCCTGACTGTATTAAATATAAGTAATAATAATATAGGAAAATCGGCAGGAAAAGCACTGGCTGAATCTCTACGCAAGAATATCGCCCTGACTGTATTAAATATAAGTAACAACAATATAGGAGAATTGGCTGGAAAAGCACTGGCTGAGGTTTTATGCACGAATATCACCTTAACTGAATTAAACATGAGTTTGAATAGTATAGGAAAATCAGCAGGAATAGAACTAGCCAAGGTTCTATGCAAGAATACCAGACTAACTAGTTTAGATTTACGATGTAACAATTTAGGACAATTGGCAGTAAAAGCACTGGCCGAAGCGCTATGCGAGAATAACACCCTGAGATATTTAGATATTGGTGATAATAAAATAGGAGAATTGGCAGGAAAATCACTGGCCAAGGCGTTATGCGAGAATACTGCCCTGAGATATTTAGATATTAGTGATAATAAAATAGAAAAATTGGCAGGAAAAGCACTGGCTGGGGCGTTATACAAAAATAACACCTTGAGATATTTAGATATTAGTAATAATGAAATAGAAGAATCGGTAGGAAAAGCACTGGCCAAGGCTCTATGCAACAATATTACACTGACAGGTTTGGGCATTTATGGAAACGCGATAAGTGATACGATAAAAAAGAAATTGAATAAGGCTGTTCTTAATAACGCCAATTTTGTCAAATTGTCAAATCAAAATAAATTAAGACGTATTCAAGTTATAAAAGCGAATGAGAAAAATTTGGTTTCAGTAAATTTATGTCCTGTAGGGCAAGATTTTTTCGACAATCCTTTAAGGGTTAACTATGACATCAATATAAATGGCCAAAAGAAAGTAAACATGTCAGGTTTAAATATTTATTATGAAGTAGAAGGTAACAGACAATCTGATATTGAATTATTGGAATTATTACAGTTGCACGAAGAAGAAATTTTTAATATTCTTCCAACCAGTGCGGTTGGAATAGGGATTACCTTTGTAAAGTCATATCCGGAGCCATCCATCATTCTCTATGTCAATGAATTACCCGAACTCTCCGAACAAACCATTGAAAATTTTTTTGAAATATTACGACCACCAGAAGATATTGTCATTTGTCAATTACTTGAAGATGATCTCTATAAGCCAAATTGCGGTGCAGAACATATGATCAGTCACAATCATGAAAATAATAAGGGCAAGGGTGTCACTAAAAGTAATGATAATGATAGTCATAGAAATTCTGAGGATGAAGATGATAAAGAAAATGTTTCCGATGGAAGTAAAAGAGTAAATAGAAGTAATGAAAATGATCCTAATGAAAGTAAAGGAGAAAACAGAGATATCGAACATAATAGTGATAATAAAGATGATCCTAACAAAAGAAAGAAAGGTAATGATGAAGAGAATGACAAGAGCAGTGGATTAAATAAAAATAACAAAGGCAAGGGAAAAGGTGGTGGAGATGACGGAGATGACGGAGATGACCCGAATGACACGAATATTACAATGTCATACGGAATTATTGATGCAAATGCTTCTGCTAATATTACGTCTAGTAATGACAGTAATCCAATTGGTCAGGTAGTTACTATACATTTTATGTTGAGTATGTGGCACCCGGGGAATAAAGACAACAAGTTAGAATTTGAAATCTCCAAAATAAACTTTTCAGGAGGTGAGATGTTATCTGATCAATTTAAAGAGATAAAGGGCGAAGGATATTACCCCATTGAAGCCAAAATTAACTTCAAAGCCTATCATAACTGTCAGCAAGATAATAATTCTGTCTTAATTACTGTTGAAGAATCCTTTCCATATAGTGAAATGGAAGATGTGCAGGTTTCTTTGACAAAAGCAAAAGGTTTGTCAATGGGAATTGATGGTTTTAACCCTACATCCATTTTAAACTTAAATCGAGAACAAACAGTAAGCGAAAAAGTTTCTTTTATCTCTATCAGTAATCCTAATCGAGGATTCAGAGAGATTACATGGAAACATCGCATAAGAAATGAGGTATTTAAATATAATTAAGAATATCATCGATACAAGCAGTATAATTCAGCTATATCTTTAAATTTAGGAAAAGAAGATTCCCGATTACTCGCAAGTACCAGTACACAAAGCCCGCTTTGGATACGCAAAAGAGCTTGTAAAAGAATTCGAAATCAAGACGGTATTAACTTTGGAATTTAAGAAAAAATGGTATTCGAAGGAATTGAAGTTACGTCGGTCTCGTGTGAGCAAACTCCCTGCAAAATTACGATTTTCACTTTCTATAATAATTGAAGAAAAAAAAATTCAAGGCATTTTTGAAAAAAGGAAACTGATTGACTGCAACCATCCTAAAATTTTGCCTGCTAATATGAATAATAAATTTAAAGATTCCTCAAGATATGATTTTATAGAAGAATCTTTAGAGGAGAAAAAGCAAAAATTAGAAGAGATTAGGGTTTTTTCTTTGCAAGAGATCGAACAAACAAAACAATGATTTCTTTTTTTTCTATTTTGATTTATTAGTTATTTACTTTCTAGTCCAAATATTATTGACTGTTAGCTGGTTTATTAACTATATTAAAGAAAAATTTTTAAATTTTAATACTAAAAATTTTTTAGCATTATATTTCTACATTATTTATAAAATATTGAAAAAAACTTTAATGTTATATACAGTAATTAGCAAATTTTTTATTAATTTAAAATAGTTTGAATATTAATTATATTTTTTGAAAATTTATTAGACATAAACTCGTAACAACAAATATTGTAAAATTAATTATAAATTATCAACATTTAATTGTATAAAGAAAAACTTACAGTAATGTCTTTTTATAATTTATTTTTAATATCTTTTCATTTAATGATAATTGTTTTTTTTTTATGCACATATATATTTTTAAACTTATATTTAAACAAAATTATGAGGTCTAATAATTGTTTTATTAAAACTTTTACAGAATTTCTTTATTCAAATTTAATATTGTATTATATTAATATATAAAAAATTAAATTAAAAACATAGTAAGCTTAATATTAATAAATACAGTGTGGTGCAAAAAATTTTGGAATTTTTTATTTATTCATTACTCAAAAACTACTGCATAGAAATTAATAAAAAATATATCAA